AAACCCTTTTATTTATGGCCTTTGACTGCACTTTCTAAACAAATTAAGATAAAAAAAATTTCTTTTTTCTTTTATATTTTTTTCTTTTATTAATATTTATTCTCTACTTTTGTAGACATTGCCCCTGCAATGTACTTTTTTAAATTGTATTTTTCTTATGTTCAGGACTTGGACTTGTCTTTCTATTGAAATGTACTGTAGAAATAAATTATCTTTTCCTTCTAGTTTGGCTCCTTTAATCAGTATGATTCTGCCCTCTGGTATAGGTCTTGCACAAGTTTCTAAAGTATTGAGCCTCAAAAACAAACATAAAACATATTTGTTTCTTAAGCCTTTCTTAAGGCCTATGTTTTCTGTTCATTTAATAATTATTTGCTTCATATCTTTTTTTCATTTGATTCTATAACATTTGAGATTTGCATTATTTTAACATCTTATTGCTGTTAATTATGTTAATTTGTTGTTTGAATTTTATGATCTTCCTTGTGAATTGAGTCTTTGATTTTGACAATAAAGCGATATATAAATAGATTTTTATGTTGCAATGGGTATGGCACTATACAGTCAGACAGGATAATCAATTCTACACTGGCAGCATGAGAGAGGAAACACACATTGCATGGATAGTGGGTGAGTCATGTCTGCCTGCCCCTACTGTTCTTGTGATGGTTCCAGATTTAAGGGTCAGCAATCTGCATTCACCTCACAGATACCCCCACCCCACCCCATTCTGTTTTTCACATCACTCTGCTCTCTCTTTTTTGCTGTTACGCAACTTGAGTTTCCCACACACAAACAGGTAGGAAACACTTAAATAGTTTGTGTATGTGTGAAACTGCCAAATCCCCATATGTTGTGCAGTGCTTCAACTGTCAGAATCTGCTATTAGTCAAATGAATACATAGGCAGAAATGTATATATATAAATAAATATATATAAAATTCTTTCTATGTAATTACACATTTAAAAAGTGAGAATTGTGAGATAAATTAACCAATACAAACATACATATACAAAAAAAATTAAAAAGTTTAATCATTCAGGGTCAAATCTATCTAAATCTAAGTATGGAAATCTGCAGTTAAAAGAAAACTAGACAATCTTAGTCAAAGTAGGACATTAATCCCCAAGAGGCACAATCGCAGCATCCTGCAGTGACATGATATGTGTGAGAAACTGTGATGAATGAGCATTGGAGCATTCTTAGCAATGACACAAACAGTATTATCTATGCCAGCATCTCCATTTCTAGTTCAGGACACTAAAACTAAACATCAGTTGTGATAACATGTATAAGCACAGGCATATCACACAAATGAACTACAGAACATCATATCAAAAAGGAGAAACATATCTATATAGCACCATTTTACAACAAATATTGCCTACTAACACTGCACAAAGAAAAAAAAAAGTGAACAGAATCCCCCTCAGACATTTTGGTTTCTGACAGGGTCAATATTTTAAATATCCATTTAAGTATATATAATGATATAAAAGTCAAAATTATTAAAACAGGCAAAACTCTTGAAACAGCAAGGTTCAATGCTCCAATCTATGCTGCAGTGTTTCTGCATTGAGTCTGTATTCCCCAGGGTGCATGTTTAGTTTTTTTATGGTTCTTCATTGTCCCCTCCCACAGTGCAAATTCATGAATACTAAGTTTAAGTATTTTTGTATTGCCTTTAGATGTGACTGTATGCAATAAATGTTCTACGTTGCATTGTGGTAGGGCGGATAATTCAATTTAATTCAAACATATGTTATTAATCCCAAAGAGAAATTTGAATAAATCTATTGAATTATGTCCAGAAAAGATTAAACTGTATATCAAATGATAGAACATTCTACATGTCTCTCTGTATTTTCTGTAGACAAATGGGTTACGTCTGAAGTTCCATATAGTAATAGGTGAACTGTCCTTGGTCCTTAAAGCTCCAACTCAGCAAGTATCCCCTCAAAGCTACGGTACTGCATTTACTTACTTTTAAGTACATTTTTTAGACATATTTGGCTAAACTGCACCTTATCAGTTATTATGTGGGGGGATTTTTCACAGGGTTTCTATGGAAGCTGTGCTATAGGGGTCAGTAATATGATTTGAGTATGACGTTTGTACATACAGTCATGGGAAAAACCTGTTTACAGAGGGAAAAATACCCTGTTTACAGAGCTATATTAACAGAAGAATACGTAGTCAAGAAAATTAAAGGGGAGGTCCAATATCTTTTCCCAATATTATAAATTGAACAGATACTAGAGAATTGGAAAATCATATATGCCCAAAGGCATTCCCTGTTGTGTTTTAAAGGCTTTAACCATCCATCTATCTGCCTTTTCATCTATCAGTCCATCTATCTATTCTTCTGTCAATAAATCCATCTATTTTCCATACACACCCAGTCATACTGACACACCCTTATATTGAGCATCCTCCTGTTGTCATCATCTGATAATTATCTTGTCTTCTCAGACCAGTACAATGTCATTAAGCAAACCTTTCTTTTCTCATTCAGTGCTGCCAGTGATGAATAGTTTTAAATATAATAACAATATATAAGTGTCTCTAAAGGAATATCTTTATACTTTTACTTTTATAATCACCCTGCCAATCAATCAATTGTTTTTGCATCTTTAAGCCGTGTTGCTAAACACCACCCAGCTAATAAGGCAGGTTATTATCAAACCTCCAAGCATAATCCTTCTGCTTGCTTAGACTTTATCTTGTCTATTCATTTAGTTCCACCACAAAATTTAAGGGGAAAATATTTAAGGAACGATAATACAGCCAAAGCTTCTTAGCTTATATTCCATATTTTACCAATGAAGTAGGATACAGATTTATAGGGAGATTTTTTTGTAAACCATCTGACCTACATTTTTCCATACAATTTGAAAATTAACATAGTTTTTGTTGTTGTTTGTTTCTCAATGCCCACATCTTAGCCATTTATAATTAAGACATTGCATTTAAAGATCTTGATCTAAGAATGCTCCTGCTTCCAGCCAAACTGTAACCCCCCTTACTTCTTCCCCAGCCTCTATATGATTCCCCTCATTCTCTAGCCACCTTTCCTTCATCAGTGTCAGGCTGTTTATGTGTTTGTGTGTGTATGGGGGGGGAGGGGGGGGGGCCGTGGTTGGGGGGGTGAGGGGTGCGTTGGGGGTGGGGGTGGTTGATGCCTCTGACCTAGATCTACCAGCTCACACAGGTCAACCACATTCTGCACTGACATCTTCTCCTGGGGTCTGAGCACCCATGGCTTGTAAATACTATTTATGTCAATAAAACTCTATATATTAGCTTTTCTTTTCTGCACATGATTATCTATGTGGGTTGAAATATAATTTGGTAACTTGGGGCAGTGTTGTCATTCTTTCTTTGATTTAATTTAACTGAGAAAGGGTCCTGGTAACAAAAGAAACAACACAACAAAACCATTCTACACACAACTGAAGCATTTAAGAACATATACTTTCAATTATTAGAGTACACTGTAGCTACATCTGTCATAATTATACCTTTTCATTTCCTTTTTTGCTCTGTTGGCTCTGGTGTTTCTCATGCTTAACAAAACACTACACATTCACAGTTTTTCTATGGGGTTCAGGTCAGATGAGCTTGCTGAATATGTTACTAAGTTCCACTTGAACATAAAACTAGCATATTTTTAGTAAAATAAAGTATAGGCTTCTCTGAACATTCCTGGTCAACAACTTTGCTGGCTCTCAGCTTAACAAAATACAGAACAAAATCAGGATTCTCCATTCTTTCTACATACTATAGGAACAGCTTGCTTTCTTTTTTAAATGAACTAAAGAGGTCTTGTGACTACTGACAACTTCAGTAGTCACAAGTACTGTAGAAAATAATCTGATTTTTTTATTATAGTGACTTAACACAACAAATTTTACAACTGCCGCTTACTTTCTGCATAGATCTGTTTGTGGTGGCTCTAGTGTCCAAGTATTGTGTGTGCCCTCCCCAAACTCTTGGAAGGTTTGGCACATCACAATCCTCTCAAAACTGTAAATTTCCCTGATGCTCATGCACTTTTTTTCTCCACCTTTTCCTTCCACTAGACTTCCACATAATGTGCTTGGATGAAGCACTAAATAAATGCATTTTTAAAACTACACACTATGTTTGAATTGTATTTGAAAATTACTTTTTGAATCAGATTACTGAACTAAATGAAGTTTCAATACTTATTCTATTTATTGAAATGCGCCTCTAAATTGGCATTTCAGAAGTGTAAATGACAACAGTTAAGTAAGTGAAAAATAACAATAAATCGGAGCACATCTTCAGTTATTAAAACATATTTGCTATAAAGGCAATTTAAATAGTGGCAGCAGGGTATTCCTGCAGCTGTGAACATTTTGCAGGTCGGCGACTCAACGCATTTAATCATTTTAACCATTTAAATTATAAACTGAATTTACCTGCATTATTTTTATCTGGGGTAAATATGTATGTTACCGATTGGGAATGTGCTTTATAAATAAATATAGCTAAATGAAATAAACATTTTCTGCATAATACACATGAATCTTTGCAAAGGGGAAGGCTGATCGGCAGGGGTGGCCCCTGCTCTGCTTGCTGACTCCTGGGGGGGCACCACTTGTGCGATGTGAGCCGGTGTAAATAGTTTTCTGGGCTAAAATGAAATGTTTTGGGTCATGCTCTCCCAAAGTACCTGATATTTTAGTATATATATGATAAAAGTAATCACTTTACTGCAGTGTTATTAATTGACTCATCTGTTCTCTGCACCAAAAGCAAAATCATGTAAATGTGTGCTTGTTCTTGTTGTATCTAAACATTCAAAACACAAATATAACACCCAAATATAAATATCAGAGCTTGTTGGCAACAATAGTGTTTAAGACCTTTGAGTGGTTGCGGTCTATCCCTCATCCTCTGCGTTAGTGCGGTGCGCATACAGGTAATAAGCTGCTCCGCCACTGCGCAACGATGGAGCTATCACAGCGATGGAGATGACGCAAACAGACTCAGCTCTCCGAAAAAGTGTTTCAAGACGAACATGGCGGCAACTTAACCGAGGTCCAAGATGACAGTGGCCACCGGGAAAACGGATTCGATGCTTTCCGAGAAACCCATCTACCTGTGTCGGGGTGGCTGATGGCTCTCCTTTAAGTGAATCTGCGAATCGAGCGGTAGCAGACGCGCAGCATCAGCACCGAGAGGCTTGCAACAGCTGGTCTCCCTTGCGCGCCCTCCTGACAAGCTAACAAGCCCGGAGAGGGGACGTCTGGGAAGACGCGGGGCTATGCGGTCAAAAAGGACGCCGTTCTCCCCCGGAGAGCCATGGAGAACCGGGATGCGGCAGCGCGGAGCTTAATCTATGCGGCCACGCTAATTGCTTCCAAATAGCACCGACTCGCTTCGGGGGGCGATAACAGGAGCGCCCTGGACCGGCGGAGGTTCGGCACCCCTCCTCCTACCGCTGCAGAGGAGAACCAACCGGAGCCCGTCTCCCAACAAGTCAATGAGTTTTGTTGCAGAGGAGCCCCCGCGGTGGAGTCGGCCCAGGGCAGCACTCTCCTAAAATATGACCAGGGGTGTTTGGATGCGTCGGCAGCATGACGAATGCTTAAAATATTGGTCTGCACCCCGGGGGAACGAGAAGCCATTCACGGAGCCGGAGCGGGCCCAGAGATGGCGACAGTCGCTGGCCTCTCTGCTCTTCATCAGCGTCCTGCTCTCTGATCACCTGTGGTTCTGCGCCGAGGCCAAGCTGACGCGGACCCGCGACAAGCGGCCGGACGACGGGCAAACTATTACGGGTGAGAAGAAGCAAAACTCTCCTGAAACACACTATATCCCAAAATCACCCGATCCCCGCCACCTCTTAATAGAGCAAGATGTTATTTTTATAGGGAATTCTACTAAACCTCTGTGGCGGATGGACACCTGTCATCCGGACAGCTTCTCGAAAGACTGCTTCACTTTCACGGACGCTCTGACCGTGTGTTTGGGCCTCTCTGGCGGAGAAACAGAGGGGACACAGTCGGCGTACGTGAATCTGAGCGATTTGTACCTTTCTTTTTGTAACTCCTACTCACTTTTGGATTTGTTTTACGGGTTTACGAGTCCGGACGTTTTGAATTGCTCCCTGGATACGGCCATGGGGGTGGATCTGCTGGGGTGCTCGGAATGTGTCCGGGCTTATCAGCGTCTGGATCGACAGGCTGAGGAGAACTACAGGGAGTTTGAGCTACTGGTTCAAAAGTACGAGACGGACGCTTACTCAGTCAGGACGTGCATGGACGAGTGTAAGGTAGGACCCACGTACACTTTGCACGCACGTTTTTAAAAGAAAATGTGGGGGGTGTCCACGGTTGTCATGGTAACCCTTGCATATTTGTAATGCTTGTTTTTCAAAAGTTTGTGGCACCGATCGGTCAGCAGAGCCTGCATGGCTGCAGCACTTTCTCCACCTATGAGTGAGATTTTTGCAGTAGCCTAAGCATCTAAGGCTACAGCATCTCTTTTATTTTTATATCCTTTAACTCTATTTGGGGCCACTCTGTGCAGCATATTTTGGACTAATGTTTGACTTGTGGACTCAGATTGTGTCACGTCTCCACCATAAGCAGAGAGAGAGAGAGAGGAGAACGTTTTAATATTGATAATAGCACTCCTGTGATTTCCCTCTAATCCAGGATTTGCACTTCCCCAGTTTACCTGCTGTCCCAGTAGCAGCACAGGCATTTCAGTCATAGCTTCTGCAATTAACAGCACAGATCCGCTATGTATGACAAAGTTGTTTGTTTGCTTTTGTATCGTTTTGCTTTTTAATCTCAGTCTGGGCAGGAGTTGAATCGGTTGGGTTTAAGCTGAGGCTATTTTTTGCCTGTTTTTTTGGGATGTATAGTGTCTCTTTAATCAGTCGACGCGTCTGTTGTAACTGTCCATGGTGCTGAAACAATACCCTCACCACAGAGCCTTACCATGTTCATGGTAATATTCTGTTCTAAGGAGTGTGGAGTGTTAGTTTTGGCCACACATAGGAGACAAAAAAAAAAAAATCTACTTTCATCTAAACAAAACACTTACTTCCGCATGTTTAATCTTTCTTTAACTTTGCAGTGGAAAAATAACATTACCTGATTTTTTTGCTTTCTTATCATATATGATTTTTAAATGGGGCAGCTTATAATTATTCTGTCAACAGATTCTCCCACCTGTATGTATCTCTGCATCTCCAGGGCCCTTTGCTGCTTCTAGTGTTAATGTTAATGCTATACTCATTATATTTTGTGACGATTGATTGAACATTGACCTTTGAGATATTTAAAGCTGGGGCCGAACTCTTGATTTAAACTTCCTCACAACTTTATTCATTACCTGTCTGCTGTGTTCCTTGGTCTTTCATCCTGGGTGTTTGATCATCAGTGTTATCTAACCTAACTCAACGGGCATTTCACAGAACTGCTGGATTTATTCTGGAATTTTAATACACACAGTTGGAGTCTGTTAACTACATAAGCTGACGTTTAAAGGAAAATGATTGTACTACATTTTATGTGGCAGGATCAAAGTAAAGTGGGTTTAATGCAAGAGAAGGATACACATTTTCATGTGTCATTTTCTCTCATTACAATGATACTGTGCTTTCTGTACGCTTAATTAAATCCTACCAAATACAAACAAGCACTATCTTCTGTATCCTTTTTATCACCATGAAAAGTTTGAGACAAATTTGGCTCAGGAAGTTTTTTGTTAGAAAACTTCTCAAATAATCTCAACATTTTTTTAATAATTTGGGCACAGTTCATAAGGAGGAGCTGCCGGGCTCTGAATGCAAAAATCTCCATAGTAAAGTTTCTTCTGATTATTCTGAGTCCTAGCATGTTAAGATGACTACCCCTGTGAGTTCTTGTGTTAATGACTGCAAAATATCTCCAAAAGTTATTTTTTCTAATATAGCTACATGTATACTCCTATTATGGCATGTTTAAGTAGTGTGGTTCTGCACTGCAGGTTTGCAAATGTAATAAGACAAAGCGAGAGCTATATTAGCCTTCGAGCCCCTTTATCTCAATCTGAATTGCTAATCTGTTTCAGTGTACATGTGACCTTTGTGAAACATAGCTCCCTGGCTTCAGGCCTCCTCAAGATGTTACTGATTTTTCAAGGACCACTTAATACAAAGACAGTGGTTCTGGTCTGTATCAATACAAAGACACAAAGAGGCTTAAAAAACTGTTATGGCTTTTAAATCTCATCTCCTCTGTGCGTTTTTTTTCTGAAGCCTACCCATTGTAGAAAACATAGATAAAACATTAATGGGAAGTTTTTAACAGCTGGAGGAAATTAAAGGGAAATACATATTTTTTTGCTTTATCATGTTTCTTTGTTGTTGCTATAATTCCATTCTACAACATGTTAAACTTTGACACTATTTCTCTAACTGTATGTTTGATTCAATTAGAAAGCTAACCATAATAGGTTTTCCTCTAGTAGCACTGTACATTGTATCAATACTCTCACATAAACTGACCAGCTTCCCTGTCCCTTTTGACCTAATTGCACATGTGACACATGGTTGTTGCGGGTGATCTACAAAGATTGCTGTGCAAAGGCTAAGAAATACACACAGTTGTGGTCCACCCCATTTAGATGACTATATTGTTTATGCTATTGACAGTTTGTGAGGGATTGTAAAACAAATAATGAGTTCTAAGCAATGGAGTTGTAAGTAATAATGATTATAATTATTCATATAATAATGTTACTAACAATAATTTTGAGTATTATTTTTGCACTTTACAGAAATATTTCAAAGTGCCAAAATCAAAGCTTAAAGCTAATAAAAAGATGGAAATACTAATTGAATATAAATGGCTAGATATCAATCATAAAACATTGAAAATCTGACTGTCTAATCCAGCTCTGCTAACCTGAATTGTTAAATTCAGGTTAGCAGAGCTGGATTAGCTCTTCTCTGTCTCTGCTGTAGCAGGCTTCAGGAAACACTGCGTTCAACTCAGTTTGAATCGCAGGAAGAATAAAAACACTACGTTCAGCTCCTTCTGAATCTCAGTAAAAAGGCAGTCTGACTCGGTCCAGTGAACGCAGACTTCTCCGTAGGGATTTGGTCACTACATAGCGTAACCTAAAGCTGGAAGCGCTTTGTCTAGCCTTTAGTGGCACAGAGCCACCGCCAAAATAGAACATCGAAATAGGAAGCTGGCCATTTTAAAACCTCTGTCGGCAGGGTGTTTCTTCAGAGGGGAGTAGTTCCGGTTATATCAGTGACACTTGATCACAACAGTGATAATTTGATATTCTTAATGAAATTGGTCAAGATTCTCTGCTGTAACTTAAAATTGCTAAAAGCTAATTTAACCTGATGTGAAATGCCAGTCCGGGATGTGATTTCTCTGTGGCTTACAAACTCAGTAGTCAGACAGAAAGAAACTGAAATTTAAAAATTAAACTAAATTATACAGTAGAACTGAAAGTAAAAATAGGCTAATTTAATCTCCATTGAAATATTATCCACTTTAAAGTAAATTAACTGAGTTTCAATTCAAACGTTTAGTTTTAATTAAGTGATATTCTTTTCAAATTAATGCTTTTAATTAAAATTATATGAATACATGTTTTATCAGTTGACTAAAACCCAGCATAGACATATAAGTTATTTATATTTTTGTTAGGCTGCTCATGTCACTAAACAGTTATACTGTATCTGAGGGTTGAAGCTGTTCAGCTCCTAGATATGATTAGTTTAGTCAGCAGAACAAGAGCAAAAATAAAATGATTAAAAGGTAAATAAACTTATAAAATATGGAAAACTGCCAATGCCAATGATCTCTCAACGATGCTTCATGAGTAAAGAGGGGTAACTTGAAGTGTGCACAAACATTGCTGCCTATTTGTTCACTGACAGGTTGCCTGTGGCTGTTTGTTGAATTGCTTCCCCTGTGGCTGCTGGTCTCTCTTTTGACAGTACTGTAGGTACCCTGAGGTCAAGAATGTCCAACTAGTGAAAAGCTTTGAAGTATGCAGCAGACAGAGAGATCTTCACATATTACTGTTGGCCAACCTGTCTCTCATCTGGGACCCACTGCATGGTCCTTGAAGCGTTTATCATATGTATATAAGGTTGTTTTTTTTTAAGTGCCTGGAAAAAGCTTAATTCTCCTCAAATTATTTTCATGATTTTGTGATATGCTTTGTGGTAGAGTATATTACGGAACAGTGTTGAAGAATTAACATTAGGTGGAAGAAAGATGCTAAATGATTTCGACTTCTTTTACAAATTACAAAAAATACAAAGAAATTGAAAAAATTTGCATGCATTTTTTTCAGCTACCTTATTTCTTACATCCTTAAATGCAATCCTAGCATGTGTCCCTTTTAGCCACTAAAGCGGTCTAATATTTTGAATAACAGTCATCATTGCTGTGGAGGTTCCTCCATCTTTTCCTCCGTGTTAGTATTTCTTTCTTTATTTAAAGGTCTTCACAGAATAGATTTATAATTTCACTTTTGTGGTGTTTTTTTTGGCATTAGGTTGTTTACTATTATGGGTGCACACATTCAGTAAACACCTTTTGTTTATTTAAATTAGCTACTTTTCTTTGCTGAGTTTGAAGGACTGGCTGAGTGGAGAGGACTGGTTGAAAGGCAAACCAGGAAGTGGGGCATACCATCAGGCTGCTGGAAGCAGGGGACTGGATGTTGAAGTCTGCTTCTCTCTCTCCACTTTTGGCATAACTGTTAAAACATTTTTGGTGTTATGGTTTTTCTTTTGATAGTCAAAAGGTGTTGGCTTAAATTAGTTATTTATGTTTATGCATTGTTTGTCTTTGTCTCATCTCCCACCCCTCCTCGTTTGTGTAGGCTAGCCTTTGTGTATAAATTCCCCTGTGTGTTCATTGTGTGAGGTCAGTTTTTGGTTTGTTATCCTGAGTTAGGTATGCCTTAGTTGATTTCTTTGGGCACATTTTGGTATATTTTTTTGAGATTTGATGTAAGTCCTTTTTGGTGAAGATTTTTTGGGAAAATAAATAGAAAATACTTTTTTTTATATGCCTTTGTCCTTGTGCCTTACTGGACGGACCACCACAATTGCAATCTGTAAAATATCACTATTTATGCAATGCTTGGTTTGATTTTGTATTTTACCTACATTTAAAGGCCATACATATACTTGTACTATTTGTACTTGCCCTAGATGTCGGCACTTCATGTATACTCTTAGAGCCCAAGAGAATAAAAGGTTAGCAAACGATGGCTGGGATATTGTGATAAAGGGAAAATAAAGCAGAAAATATCAGTAAAATATGGATATATCTTAATTTATATTATCATAGTTATCTATTTCATTACTTATTTCATACATTAACGGTGTGTATATTTCAAATGATTTTATTGTGGATTTCTATGTTCTATGTTTAAAAAAGTTTTAAGTTTAAACCTACCTTTATTCCTAC